CCCCTCCCCCGCCCTTGCTTCCCGGGCCCCCGCCTGCTCCTTGCTCCCCTCCTCTCCCTCCTCTCGCGCCCTCCCTTCTGCGATGACTCCAGCAGCTTTTGATTTGGAAGCGCGCTGATTGGCTGGAAGCGATTCAACACACGCCGGGCAAGAGCTTTGTCTGAGTTGAAGTGAAGTTGTACAGATTTTTAGACCGGAGTCAGCAATCACGGGTGTTTAGTCTGCAGCGGAGCAGAGAAAGGGAGAAAGAATCGCTCCGGAAAGGCACGCTGCAGACTCCGGCTGCCCGCTACAGACGGATTCCAACGAGAACGCGGACCTCGCAGAGGTGACACTGGCCGCTTGGCTGGAGAGGACGGCGGCCAAACCCACGCAAGGACTGGACTTCGGGAGGGCCGATAGCGGGAAGTCGAGACACGGTGTGTATGAGACAAAAGTTTGCGAGCTATTAATTGCTGTGCTGTGTTAAGAGACGCTTTCAAGTTTCAAGTGCCAAATGTCGCTTAGCTTTAAGTTGCCAAAGGAAGTTGAGGGAATTGCTTTGCTGTTTTAACTTGTTCTGCTAGGGGAATCTCAGAGATTGACCAATGCACCCCATGAATACTAAAATGCACTTTAGATTTGTTTTTGCACTGCTAATAGCATCTTTCAACCACGATGTACTGGGCAAGAATTTGAAATACAGGATTTATGAGGAACAGAGGGTTGGATCAGTAATTGCCAGACTATCAGAGGATGTGGCTGATGTTTTACTGAAGCTCCCTAATCCTTCTGCCGTTCGCTTTCGAGCCATGCAAAGGGGACATTCTCTACTCGTGGTGAATGAGAACACCGGGGAGATCAGCATAGGGGCTACGATCGACCGCGAGCAACTATGCCAGAAAAACTTGAACTGTTCCATAGAGTTTGATGTGATCACTCTACCCACAGAGCATCTGCAGCTTTTCCATATTGAAGTTGAAGTGCTGGATATTAATGACAATTCTCCCCAGTTTTCGAGATCTCTCATACCCATTGAGATATCCGAGAGTGCAGCAGTTGGGACGCGTATTCCTCTGGACAGTGCATTGGATCCAGATGTTGGGGAAAATTCCCTCCACACGTACTCCCTCTCTGCCAATGATTTTTTTAATATCGAGGTTCGGACCAGGACGGATGGAGCCAAGTACGCAGAACTCATAGTGGTCAGAGAGTTAGACCGGGAGCTGAAGTCAAGCTATGAGCTCCAGCTCACTGCCTCTGACATGGGCGTGCCTCAGAGGTCTGGCTCATCCCTACTGAAAATAAGCATTTCGGACTCCAATGATAACAGCCCTGCTTTTGAGCAGCAGTCTTATATAATACAACTCTTAGAAAACTCTCCTGTTGGCACTTTACTCTTGGATCTGAATGCCACTGATCCAGATGAGGGCGCTAATGGGAAAATTGTATATTCTTTCAGCAGTCATGTGTCTCCTAAGATTATAGAGACTTTTAAAATTGATTCAGAAAGAGGACACTTGACCCTGTTCAAGCCAGTGGATTATGAAATCACTAAGTCCTATGAGATTGATGTGCAAGCTCAAGATTTGGGGCCAAATTCAATCCCAGCTCATTGCAAAATTATAATCAATGTGGTGGATGTTAATGACAATAAACCTGAAATTAACATAAACCTCATGTCCCCCGGGAAAGAAGAAATATCTTATATTTTTGAAGGGGATCCTATTGATACATTTGTTGCATTGGTCAGGGTACAGGACAAAGATTCTGGGCTGAATGGAGAAATAGTTTGTAAGCTTCATGGACACGGTCACTTTAAACTCCAGCAGACCTATGAAAACAATTATTTAATCTTGACCAATGCTACACTGGATAGAGAAAAGAGATCTGAATATAGCTTGACTGTCATTGCTGAGGACAAGGGGACACCCAGTCTCTCTTCAGTGAAACATTTTACTGTTCAAATCAATGATGTTAATGACAATCCACCCCGCTTCCAGAGAAGCCGCTATGAGTTTGTGATCTCAGAGAACAACTCTCCAGGGGCATATATCACCACAGTGACAGCCACAGATCCTGATCTTGGAGAAAATGGGCAAGTGACATACACCATTTTGGAGACTTTTATTCTGGAAAGTTCCATCACTACATATGTGACCATTGATCCATCTAATGGAGCCATCTATGCCCTCAGAATCTTTGACTACGAGGAAGTGAATCAGATCACTTTTGTGGTAGAAGCAAGAGATGGAGGGAGTCCAAAGCAACTTGCAAGCAACACCACTGTTGTGCTGACCATCATTGATGAAAACGACAATGTTCCTGTGGTCGTAGGGCCTGTGCTACACAATAATACTGCAGAAGTCTCCATCCCCAAAGGGGCTGAAAGTGGCTTTCATGTCACAAGAATAAGGGCAATTGATAGAGACTCTGGAGTAAATGCTGAACTCAGCTGCTCCATAGTAGCAGGTAATGAAGAGAGCATCTTCCTGATTGATCCACGATCCTGTGATATCCATACCAACGTGAGCATGGACTCGGTGCCCCACATGGAATGGGAGCTCTCAATAATCATCCAGGACAAAGGCAATCCTCAGCTGCATACCAAAGTCCTCCTGAAGTGCATGGTCTTCGAATATGCAGAATCTGTGACAAGCACAGCAATGACTTTAGTAAGTCAGGCATCCTTGGATGTCTCCATGATTATAATTATTTCCTTGGGAGCAATTTGTGCAGTGCTGTTGGTTATCATGGTGCTATTTGCAACAAGATATAACCGGGAAAAAAAAGACACGAGGTCCTACAACTGCAGGGTGGCCGAATCTACTTACCAGCACCACCCGAAAAGACCATCCAGGCAGATCCACAAAGGGGACATCACGTTGGTGCCCACCATCAATGGCACTCTGCCCATCAGATCTCATCACAGATCATCCCCATCTTCATCTCCAACCTTAGAAAGAGGGCAAATGGGCAGCCGACAGAGTCACAACAGTCACCAGTCACTCAACAGTTTGGTGACAATCTCATCGAACCACGTGCCAGAGAATTTCTCATTGGAGCTCACTCATGCCACTCCTGCTGTTGAGGTAAGATCATGACCAGCATCAATTCACTGACAATGTCTGTTGTATGTATTAGTTCCTGAGCATTGCTATTACTAAGCATTAATATGTAAATTAAATAAGGTCAAGCTTACAGGTTTTCATGTAGCAAGTGTGCATACCTTACCAGCACACTGTTTCCATGACATCTTATATAATTTACTTGCAAGTAATATGCATTGCATTGAAGAACAAGTGTGGTAGTCCAAAGGGGCTGATGCATATCCCTGGAACTGCAAAATTAAGATCCTGGAACTCCCAGATGTGAAGGGACTTATTTTATTTTCATTGTTTTGGTCTCTACTGAAAAATAAACACCGAGGCCCCCAGATTCCTATCTGAATGCATGTCTTTTTTGTGCAAGTTTGGAAAATTTTCTGATGTCATTTTAAGTAGATGTATTGCAATGAATTTTATAGCTTATTTTACATATTTTATAACTGATGACTCTGCATTGTAAAATAATTCAATCTGTTATTTGAAAGATAATCTTTTTATTCAAAGAAGAAAAGGTAGTTGTGTCATCATGCCTACCTCTCAGGACACACTCCAGGTACATGTGACATTGGACTGCATGGCCTGCCATGGTCCTGCCTATGGGAATCTTTGAAAGGGATGTAATATGTTCAGTTACTCAGTATAAAATCCCAAGGAACCTCAGCTCTGTGCACGTGGCAGGGAGTACTTGGGGGTGTGTCTACAGGAATCAGCTCTGTCTGTTTGGTTTCCAGCAGGTCTCACAGCTCCTTTCAATGTTGCACCAGGGGCAGTATCAGCCAAGGCCAAGTTTTCGAGGAAACAAATACTCCAGGAGCCATCGGTATGAATTACCCTTGTTTCACCCATTCAGTCTCCCAGTAATGCTCAAGTGTAAAAATGATATTTTCCCTGATCGATCTTTCTAGATATGCCCTTCAAGACATGGACAAATTTAGCTTGAAAGACAGTGGCCGTGGTGACAGTGAAGCAGGAGACAGTGATTATGATTTGGGGCGAGATTCTCCGATAGACAGGCTGCTGGGTGAAGGATTCAGTGACCTGTTTCTGACAGATGGAAGAATTCCAGCAGGTAAGAGGACAATAATAGTGAATCTTTATGCTCAGATCTACTACAATTCTAGCAAAATGAACAATTTCACCCAAGCTTCTATTTCTTCTTTATTCATCCTTTGCAATAAAGATTTGTAGTCTGCACACTGTTACCAATGAATACAAAAGTGAAATACTGTAAAATTATTCACTTGAAATGCATAGCAAGTAGTTGATAGTGATGGCATAAGTATGAAAGGAGAGGACAGAAACCAGACCACTTTCTGGCTCTTTCTACCACATCCAGCATTGCCACAGGACACTCTGAGCAATTCTGTGAAATTACTGGGTGGATATTCTTACTCCGGGAGCCTGTTTTGGTGAAGAGTGGTGAAATGGACTATAATTTGGAGTGTGCTTTTCCTGTGATGGGAACCAATGCACAAAGTCAGAGCCTGAAATACATGCGAAAGGGTGCACTTTAAGCCCTAAAAATAAGAGAAAGAATGCACCGTGTAGGTGGTGAGGATGGAATATTTCTCCCCACTGTTCACTTTAACGTCTGCACTGTAATAGAAGAGAGGCAGGAATCCCAGGGGAATTTATAAGCACACAGTTAAATGAAGGAAATTCTATTAAGTTTTGAACCATATTTTCCTTAGGATTCCTTTCCTCTAATTTTGCAGCAGAAACTTACTGAACCAACTCAGTAAATACTGACTGTGTCACTATAGCAACTCTGTTACTAAGGACTATAATTTTGAGTCAACCCTTAGGCCTGTAGAAATGCCCCTTTAGCTAAATATGTCTCTGAATTCCTTACCTGTGGATTAAATGCCTGCTGTCCGATAAATGAAAAAAGAGACAGAAAAACATTCTAGTGCCCATTTTAGTTCTGCCTAACATCTATTTTGCCAATATAGTTAGTAAGAGAAAAGAAATATGGAGGTGTTATAGAAATCCATGAAAATCAATAAGCAGAAATTAGAGTTCTTTTAAGTCCCACTGGTCATAGAGTGGCAGTAGCCACAGTAACAGGAGGGGTCAGCAGTGATGACTCAGAGCTTGCTCTGGGGCCAGTTTAAGGATTTCAGGTCCAAGGGGAGCCGGTTCCCTCTCTCCATCCTCCCTTTCTCTCCTGCTCTGTTCTCCTTACTCCACTCCCTGCTGTCTTCCTCCATCTCTTCCTCTCTTTTTCTTCCATTTCTTTCCTTTCTTTCTTTTGTATGACCCTGTGGGTAGAGCCCAGGGCCTGATGGGTGCTATATAAGAGCTTTAACCACTGGGATACATCCCTAGCTTTCTACAGAGTTGTTTTCTCTACATTACTTCTCCGAAGACTTTGCCGTGAGAGTCAACCACTTGTAGAGGTGATATTTAACAAAAGTGTTCATACTTTTCAGATTTGAAAATTGAAGCCTGCTTATTAAGATTACAAAATACACCCCAAATCAGGCAGTTTGTTCAAGGTAGAGGTGAGACTTGTACCAATCTCCATACTCTTAAACACTAATCTGTGAAATACATGGAACAACAGGCATTTCTTTTTTAATTAAGTAGGTATCATATCTTCTTACCAATAACCTAAAGACTTACTGGCCTCTAGAACACTTGAACCCTTTTGAATTCTGATATCACAGAATTCTAATAGCTTGTGATGAATCCATTTTCTTATTGTATGTTCTTAAAATTATTTATGACTTATTTAATTCATTTTGAAACTGAAGATTGAACCCAGAGCCTCGTGCATGTTAAGCACACACTCTACCCCCTGCTAGCAGGAGCGTTATCTAGTACTTGATCTAGACAATAGTATTACTAGTAAATATTAGGAATGAAGACATTGAGGAAACCACAGATAAAAAAAGATGAACTGGGAAACAGTAAGTGTAGTGTAGCAAGTGACATTATGTTCCAGTCACGTCACATTTTTTTTGGAAGGGGCTTACTTTCATATTAACATTCCAACTCCACTAACATGTGGATGATCCTTTACAATCTTTTTATATTTACCCAGTCATGCTTAATCCAAAGCAGTGGGAGAAAAGTTATTTTCCTGGTGTGTAACCTTGTGCTACAAGCCACTTGTTTCTTCATGGTTGCTGAGCTGTAAGCACAGAGCACCAGCAGATCACCAGCAGCCCAGAAAATATATTGATACTGAGGCAGCATAGACTGCCATGTGCATAACTAATTATTGATAGAGGAATAAAGATGCCTTAATTGTCAGCACTATTCTGATGATTGCTTACTAACATTGTAGTTTGACATTTATCCTGGCAATGTATGCATCAAAATATAAAACCTGTCCTTCATGAACCTATAGTTCTAGGACATTTGCTGAGTAGGAAAATATGTAAGTCCACATCTGAATGCCATTAACAAAGTTCAGGACAGATTTCTCTCAAACATGTCTATTTTAGAACGCAAGCATCATATTTCAACTTGTTTTTAGTGTTAGTCTGTGAACCAATATAGACAACGTGGTGTTCTTTGTTTGCCAGGAGGGTCATTTCTGGTTATTCACTGCTTTAATTCCCACATAGATATACTACATACTGAGCCATAAAATTAGTGCATATTTTTGTCTGTTGGTTCATGTTTATCTGCTGTCCTCTTTCTTAGTCATCCAACATTGAACTATAACATGAAGTGTTATGCTCACAAAATCACCTTCTCTATCTTGTGGCACCAAGAATGATTTATGAAGTCATTTGACTTTGTTTTTGTAATACTGCTTCTTGCTGAACTCATCCCCTTTTCTTCATTTTCCTTCTATAAGTACTTACTTCAAAGGTTCTTCTTTAACTCTAGATTCTCTGTCCTCATGGCAAGTGCCCTAGCCTTTCTTCCATGGGTGGATGGATCATCCGTGTTGGGAGCCCCTCTCCAATGCTCCTTCCCACTGTCAAATCTTTCCTTCATGCAGCTTAAACAACCTTCTCAGAACATTTTAATTTTTTTCTTCTTTTTGGCTTAAAAAAATCAATGCATAACTTGTTGCTCAGCAGCAAAGAACAAAGTTTTTTATTTTGGTACTCAGAGCCCAGCAAAATCCACTCATAACTTATCAAGTCCCAGTTTTGCCATGTTTGAGTCTGCACCACAGGTAGAGGCATCACTTCCCAAAACAGCATTGCTTAGCTCTTTCCTGTCTTCCCACCTGAAAAATTATTTTTTTTCACTTTGGAAATAAAAACTATTCATCGCTCGAATTATTTCCTATTCCTCTTTCTTTGATGATGTCTGCGTATACCTTCACTCACTTACCTTGTATTGATATTCCTTGGCATCATCTAAACTGGCCCTTTAAATGGCATAAAAATGTCATTTGTTACACTTGGATTTAGCTCATGACCCATGGAGGTGGTGTCAGTGCTTCACAAAGGGTGGGACCTTAGTAGAGAGCTGATTGGTGACTCCATGACGGGTGACTTGACAGAAGTTAAGCATGAATTTTTCTTCTGGCATTCTATCTTCCACTTCATGCTTCACCTTTAAGCTGCAAGACAGGGACAAAAGTCACAGTGCTATAGCGTTGAAGAATTTATATAGAATTTATATAGCGTTGAGTTTCAGAGGAAGCTCAGCCAGCCCCAGAGCTTTCAGAGAGTAACAGGAAACTCTGCTGTTTGCTAACAACTCCTGTTCCCTGGGGTGTGGGATGCAACACTTGTGGTGCTGAATTATGTATGCACTGAGATTGTTTTCTAACAGCTGAATCTCCAGGGAACAGATTGAGAATATCAATGAAATTGCAAGAAATGCTTCCTCTGTACCACTTTCCTCTCTCCATTGGTTTTCTTTCTCTCCATTAGTCTTTCTTCATCTCTTTTTCTTATTTTCTTACTATATTTCATTTAAATTTAGTTGCTTTATAACTAATGGACTACTTCCTTATTATGATTAATTGTAAATAGCATGCACCCTTTAGAAATAATTCATATGACTGAAATTATTTTTGAGCATGAACTACCAGATTGGATTATATGTGGAATTATGTGTGTAGACTGTGTTGTTATTTGTGTGTGTCTGTGTGTGTTATTATGTTTATTGCTGGTTATATGTTCATTATATTCAGGTATCTGGCAAACCTGATCATATTCAGAATTCTCAGTATCCTGTATAAATTTCTTCTTTTTTCCATAATTTTATTGAGAAACAAATAGCAATGAGACAGTTTCAAACCGAATTGGTAGGACAGTTTCAATAATTAACACATTGCATACATTCTTCCTAGTGGTTAATTGCTGTACAAGATGTGGACATGATATCCTATTTTCAAACACCATTAGAACAAATCCCTCTATTCATTAAGAGAATGTAACTATATCTATCCTACCCACTTTGAATACATAGATACAAAATGGACATTCATCTGTATCCCCTTTTTTTGTTAAGTTCTGTTATTTGAATATTATAGGTGTGTAAACTCAGCAAAATAATCTAAAAGAGTCCAGTAGCCCATAATAGTATTGGGTCAGCAATAATAGTATTGGGTCTTCCACTTGACTGACAGAAATTGTTGACCTGAGTCCCCCACAGCTCAACATAACAGCATGGTTTTACTTCTTATATTTCGTTTTTATATTTTTCTGCTGGATGTTTAAGACCAAGGTAAAGCAGGACCTATGTAACAAGAGTTGTAGCTTTTGGGTCTGAAAAGGTCAGTGAAATCCCCTCAGGATTTATCCTGAGATCCTGTACCTCAGACTGTAGAACCTTTGTTAGTGTCAGCCATGTGGATGACTCACGGTCATTGCTTGGCCCATGTGCTCTCTCTGAAACCCTGAGAGAATGTTTTCTCTCCATGTGACTCCTTAGGCACACTCTACATCATCGGTCACTTTCCTCTTTGGCCCCATAATTTCCTTGATTAGAAAATTTGGGACACTACCGAGTTACTTGACGTTACAGTACAAGTTCTCTTAACCAATACCATTCTCAGGGCAGGGGAGATGGTTCAGTGGAATAAGCACTTCCCTGGCAAGCACAAGGGCCTGAGTTCAATCTCTGGTTCTGGAAAAAAATATATCATTCTCTTTAAGCCATAAAGCAAAACACAGCCAATCCAATAAACAAGTGCACAATAAAGTTCTTCCTAAGTATGAACCGCAGAGGTAAAGACCAGGAAAACAAATGAAGTGTCAGCAGGTCTGTTCCCTTCTGACAGGATGAGAGTAAGATAGCATGTACAGGTATCCTTTTCAGTTTCAGAGACCCAGTAATTAAAAAACAAGTCATTAACACTATAATGGTTACTTCACTGTTGAGAAAATTTCATTTCTATTTTAATGTCTCAGTGCTTTCAACTCTTTTTGAAACTGTCCACATTACATGGTGAAAAATGGCAGTTGGTTAACATTTCTAAGTAGTAATAATGCATGAAGACAAGACAGTCCTGCTTTTATTCTTAAATCAGACTTGCTTTTTCAAAAATTAATCTTCATTTATAGCATATTACAAAGTGATTCTGTATGTTCATTCTTTTTCCACCTTGACTCACACAGGGCTGGTGTTCATGTGTTTCTCTGCATTTTCCCACTCTTCTTTTGCATTGTAGCTGCCCGAGCTGTGCAACTTTGTTCTTCTCACATCATTTGCTCTCACTTTTTGTCCCTCTAATTTCTCTCTTTCCCATCAAAACTTGAGGACCTGAAGGATTTCAGAATAGAAGTATCTTGCAGGTTCCAGCCATAGAGTGTGGTGATTTCTAGACCCTGAAACGAAAACCATTATTTTTCCCCATCTGAAATGTAACTGTTCTTGCATCACTTTTCATTCAAAAACTGCCAGCGCATCCTCCCTCTAAGCAGATGCTTCTTTAGGTGGGAGCACAGTTGAGTGGGCACCGCAGGGAGCAGTACTCTAGGGTCAGCCTCTAAACAGCAATTTGGGAGGAAAGGAAATTGTTCTCAAGTAGCCAAATCTAAAAATTTAATTCAAACAGAAAATGGGGCTAGTGTGAGTCCAATTTCCTTTCAGATCTAAGAAAATTACCTTGCGATTTCTAAATTCTGTTCTTCTAAAATGAAATCATAATGCTGAGAAGTCTTAGGTTTTCTTGAAATAAATCGCTTGTGAAATATATTTTATATATTTGCATTTCTTGGTTTTCATGTGGTTTAGTTACTGTATTTGCCAATGATGAGTTTTTTTCTTTTCTGCTTTTCTTATATCTTTCATTTTCTATAAATATGGCCACTCATATTCCAACAGAATATCAGAACATCTGGGAGAACTAACTAATGATTTTTCATATTATTCCCTTTTTGATGATTTTCTTATGATTTCAATATTAATGAATTTAAAGTTTTTAAGACAACACTTAATGATATGTGACTTCAGATGTTTAATAGTTCTTTAATAGTTTTTTTTTTTTTTTTTTTTTTTTTTTTTGTACCAGGGATTGAATTCAGGCCCTTGAGCTTGCCAGGAAAACACTTATTCTACTGAGCTATATCCCTGGCTCCAAGTATTTTAATAGCTAAGGAAACTTTCCATGGTATTTTGCAGAATAAGTCAACAAATGACTTATAAAACCTTTATGAGAGATTAAACAAGTATAATTACTTGACAACTACTTATATTTCTAATACCTCCATTAAAGCGAGACAGGTAGAGTGTCATGTCAAGCAAGCTGCACAGATGTTCTAAAGGCTTACTGGTGTCAGTTCCAAGTCAAGTGTTTCACTTTAGAATTATATTTTTGAAAAATTAAATTTTTAGGGCCAGCCAGATAGCTCAGCAGATTAAAGCACCTGCTTAGGCAGAGTGCAGGCTGGGTTCGATCCCCAGCATGCTGTGCTGGCCCCAGCTCAGGGGCATGCCGAGAGGACGATTGAGACTGGGCATGGTGGCGCACACCTGTAATCCTAGCGCTTGGGAGGCTGATAACAGGAGCATCACTATGACTCCAGTCTGTGTAGTGAGACCTTGAAAACCCTGTAGACCCTGTCCTAAATACAGAAAAAGTTAACTTTTTATTTTGTTAGTTCTTTTCATGCATAAGTTATCAATCCAGTTTCTCACTAGAAAAAAACTAGACCCTTTGAGACTGGAAGAATATCCCTAAGAGACTCACTAACCTCTTCTTTATTCAGTGAACAAAAAATATAGCAGCAGATCAGACTTAAGGAGGTCCATAACTAACTCTAGTATTCAAATTGAAGCCATGCTTGTAGCCCACCTCGTGTGTCCAGTAGCAAGTTAGCACCCTGCCATCAGTCTACCCTGGTCTCAATGTATTTAATAAAAGCGAGATTATGTTTCTCATGGTCCTGAGTCCTGTAAATACAGTAACGAATCCTCATTGCTTTCCCCGAGCGCAGCCATGAGGCTGTGCACAGAAGAATGCAGAGTCCTGGGACACTCTGACCAGTGCTGGATGCCACCGCTGCACTCTCCCTCCTCTGATTATAGGAGCAACATGTTCATTCCAGGGGAAGAATTCCCAGCCCAGCCTCAGCAGCAGCATCCCCACCCTAATCTTGAGGATGACGGCCAGCATGCAGAAACTGGGGAGAAGAAAAAGAGTTTCTCCACCTTTGGGAAGGACTCGCCAAATGATGAGGACACAGGGGACACCAGCACCTCCTCCCTGCTCTCAGAAATGAGCAGCGTGTTCCAGCGCCTCCTGCCCCCCTCCCTGGACACATATGCTGAGTGTAGTGAGGTGGATCCGTCCAACTCTTTGGAGCGCCGGAAGCCACCACCGGTGCCGGCTAAAACTGCAGGATACCCACAAGGGGTGGCAGCGTGGGCAGCCAGCACACACTTTCAGAATCCCACCACCAGCCCTGGGGCACCCCTTGGAACTCACTCCAGTGTGCAGCCTTCTTCCAAGTGGCTGCCAGCCATGGAGGAGATCCCTGAAAATTATGAAGAAGACGATTTTGATAATGTGCTCAACCACCTCAACGACGGGAAGCATGAACTCATGGATGCCAGTGAGCTTGTGGCTGAGATTAACAAGCTGCTTCAAGACGTTCGCCAGAGCTAGGGGATTTCTACAAAGCAGTTTTGTTTCCATGTATGGAAATAGGGAACAGGAAAAACCCTGAAAGAACTGGCTCTGCCAAATAGTTGCATTTATCATAAATGTGTCTGTGTATATTGAATATTAAATACTGTATTTTCGTATGTACACAATGCAAGTGTGATTATTTTAATCTGTATTTTAAAAATACATTTGTACCTTATATTTATGTGTAATTTAACAAACAAATTTTATTTTTTTACTCCCATGACAAACACGTCTCTCCTGTTCATGTAGAAACTAGCCATTGTTTAAGTCTGATATATATTCAACCACAAAGATAAAGGTACTGCCTAGACTAGTTAAGTTGGGGTAGAATAACTATGCTCTGCAAACAACCTCACTAATGCATTATACAATTCTTAGTTCCATTAAGTGACCCAACTTATTTTGCCATACTTTAAAACATTAACCTTAACATATTTAACTATGTTTTAATTATTGCTTTTATTAGTGTCTGCTAGCTCCAATAGCTCACCTCTAACAGCAAAATTAAAGAACGAAGTGCAATTCTATCTTAGCATTGGGAAGCATCTTCAGGAAGGTATCCGAGCTGATGGTCGAAATGAATTTTTCACAATGATATACACAGGACTAAAGTCAGTGTTTCCAGACTCCCAGGTCCCTTTTATTGCACGCTACACGCTGGTCTGACCTCGAGAGTGTTTATTCTACAATATTGTAATCTACTTCCTATGAGGGGAAAGTGATTCCCTTCCAATTTTGTAACATGTGATGTGATTCAAGGGAATGGATTCTGTCCTTTGAATGGTTAGCAGTGTGTATTCAAATAGTGTGGAGTGTTAGTGCACAGCTATGCCAGTGTCCCTCCTAGGGTAGTAAATATACCTGTTTTCTTTTGAAACCATTCTGTTTTAATCTCTCCTTCTTTCCTCCTAATACTTGAACATTTTTATCTTCTGCATTATTTTTGTTTTGCTACAACTATTCACTTTTAGCTTTTGTCTCCTGTGCATGATCTTATATTTTTGCTTGCATTTTAGAACATTTATAATGCCACAATTTTTGTATCACGATTTCGTATTATTTCTTGTGTGACAAATGAGAATTTATTTATTGTGCTGTTATCTCTCTGTGGAATGCCTTTGGTGAGAGAGGTCCTTATTATGACTATTATCATTTGTGATCAAACTTCTATTAATGTTATTTCTATTAATACACTATCTTGATTGTACTCTCCAAAAAATTTTACTGTCATGAAAATAAAAAGAAAATTAAAGTAAAGTGAAAGCAATGTCTATAAGTCGAAGTCCTGTTCTAGACACATGTTCAAAAGCCAGGCAAGTACCGTTTCTTTCCTAAGAGGTTAATTCAGTGTTGGGTTTCAAGTGACAGGGAGGGAACATCCAACTGGCTGAGAATCACTATGGAAAAGAAATGAATTTGAAACTTGTCATGAAATGAAAAGTTTCATTCCAAAACTTGGAATGAAAGTAGGTGATAATATTCCAACTGGATTAAACAATCTTAAGTGCATTTGGAGTGTAAAGAAAAAAGAATGAGTAAGAATAACTGTCTAAATATTTTTCAAATTACGCAAAACACTTTCTGAGAACATTTTGCATTAAATTGTTCAAGAGAAAAGTACGCTTAAAATCTTTTCAAAAGGCTAAAATATCCTCCATGGTTCAATTGGAGGGAATTAAAATACTAGAAAAGTTAAGTAACTTAAAATTGGCTAAAACTGAGATGTTTGAATTCTCCAGTGAGTAGTGAGTACCCCATTAAATGGAATGTACTGTTTCTTTGAAAAGCCACATGTGCCTTCAGAGAAAAGACTGAAATTCCAAACAAAATTTCAGTTTATTTTTCCACAGGTTACATGCACACATGTGAACCACATACATTTTGTGTCTCTACTTCCTTTCAGTAGTGCTGTCTTTATGAAAACGATTTTTATAACTTCTATATTTTTAATGATTTTTTCCCTAAGCAGCAATTGAGGAAGCAAAACTGGACACAGACGTAATGAATCACATGACGTAAATAAAATGCCATGATACATCCAACACGACATCTTTGGTTCGCGACCCAACACAGAATATTCTGTAGCTCAGACTCCGCGTTTCTCTAGCCTTCTACATTTACTATGAATTCTCATAGCCACGACTTAAGGGAACACTAGTACACTGTTTTGGCTTTTCACTTCTGTTCTTTCACTGGTAACTTTTGGTGAAAGCTGGGCTCCGGTGCTATAAGAGGGATTGACTGCCTCGTCCCGTTTATGTCTCTTCTTTTTGATACCACACCTCTTGTAGATTGAAAACAAACACAAAAGGAATTAAAGATTATTTTCTCCATTCATTATTCTCTCATATCTTTGGCTTTATGGGATCCTTCACATATGTTTTTAATGGTCATCATCTATTAATGAGAATCGTCGCTCAAAAATGTCACTCAACACTGAATCTGTTGTCCAACAAATCCTCCTTTAAATGCTTGTAAATAGAATGTTTAGAATTTCTTCAAAATTTTATCAGTGACACTGTTATTTCTCATTTCTTTCTTTTTCAGTATTCAACAGATGTAGTTTAAAGTTTGTTAGTCATTTAACTTCTTGCTCCTCTTGTACTTCTTGCTGCATATTATACTCATCCTTTCTATTAGATAACAAGGAAGAGAAACGACAGCTGAGCCATTATCTCACTGGAATCACTGGTCCAGCCACATTGATGAAAATGAGCTCTGTTTCCTTGTTTCAGTCATGTAGTGTCACTGTTGGAATACATTCAAGGGTGGATTTAAAATATTGACTAATTAAGTTCAAGGATCTCACAAAGCAAGAACATTCATACCAAAGTAGTTGTATGAGCAAAAAATGTATTGACTGAAGGGAGACTTTCAATCTTTCATGACCTCATGCAGCTAACACAATGGTGCTTACTCTTCTTTCCTGTGATTTCCTTATGCATGGAATAAATTTAGGCACTGTTTCTTCAACACTGTGGAACATATTTTGATATTCTCTAGTGCCATATATCTTGACAAAGTAATGAAGATGGAAGTGACTGAAGTCTGAATAAGCACTGTTTTTGCATAGGATTTGAATTTTATGAAAATCTTAAAAGATTAATTTGAAGTTTTAAAAGGAATATGAAAATTGTGGGTAATTGAGAAAGTGTTTGAATTCTTTTTTTTTTTTTTTTCCTGGGCGCTGGGGTTTATTTCACAACAGAACCACTGGGAACCTGGCCTGAGGCGCACACAGGACTCCCTCCAGATGTGGTGGGACACAAGGTGACAAGCATGACGATCACAGCTGGGGTCAAGGGCTCCGGGTGGCCCTGATGGCATCTACAGAAGCAGTGGCAGGAGGGGACCTAACTACCTGGGCCTGAGGCCCAGGCTCTGGCCTGCCGCAGCCTATTTGCTCAGGGGGTTTCTGAAGTTCCGGCCGGCGAACTTGGCCTTGCTACCCAGCTCCTCCTCGATTCTGAGGATCTGATTGTACTTGGCCAGGCGCTCGGATCGGCAAGGTGCGCCAGTCTTGATCTGTCCAGTGCTGAGTCCCACCACCAGGTCAGCAATGAAGGTGTCTTCCGTCTCCCCGGACCGGTGGGACACCATGACGCCCCAGCCGTTGGACTGTGCCAGCTTGCACGCCTGCAGGGACTCGGTCACTGAGCCGATCTGGTTGACTTTGAGCAGCAAGCAGTTGCAGGCCTTCTCATTCACGGCCTTGGCGATACGCTTGGGGTTGGTCACTGTGAGGTCGTCGCCCACCACCTGGATGCCAGCACTGGCCGTGAACTTCTGCCAGGCGCCCCAGTCATCCTGGTCGAAGGGGTCCTCAATGGACACCACTGGGTAGTCCTTGATGAAGGACTTGTAGAGGTCGCCCAGCTGGTCGGGTGAGATGTACCTACTGGGGTCGTCAGGAGACTTGAAGTCCAGGTCATACTTCCCAGACCTGAAGAACTCGGATGCAGCCACGTCCATACCGATGACCACCTTGTCCGAGTAGCCGGCCTTCCCAATGGCAGTCTTCAGCAACTCCAGGGCTTCCTTATTCTCCAGGATGCTGGGTGCGAAGCCACCCTCATCGTCCACGTTGGTGGCGTCCTTGCCGTACTTCTCCTTGATGACGTTCTTCAGGTTGTGGTAGACCTCAGCCCCGGTACACATGGCTTCCTTGAAGCTGGCCGCGCCCACAGGCAAGATCATGAACTCCTGCGTAGCCAGCTTATTGCCAGCGTGCGAGCCACCGTTGATCACGTTGAAGGCAGGCACAGGCAAGATGACCTCGGGGTTGCCTGCCAGGTCGGCGATATGGCGGTACAGGGGCACCCCCTTCTCCACGGCGCCGGCCTTGCACACTGCGAGAGACACTCCCAGGATGGCGTTCGCTCCGAACTTGGATTTGTTTTCAGTCCCATCCATCTCGATCATCAGCTTATCAATCTTCTCCTGCTCCACGACATTCAGTTTCTTGCTAAGCAGGGCAGGTGCAATAGTTTTATTGATGTGCTCAACAGCCTTTGACACACCCTTGCCCAGGTAGCGGGTCTTGTCATTGTCACGTAGCTCTAGGGCCTCGTAGATGCCAGTGGAGGCCCCACTGGGCACAGCAGCTCGGAAGAGACCTTTGGAGGTGTAGAGGTCAACTTCCACAGTGGGGTTCCCACGAGAGTCAAAGATCTCTCGGGCATGCATCTTGAGAATCGACATGTTGGATTTCTGGCTACCGGATCTCGTCGCCCAGGAAGAAAAATGAGGGTGCTACACACACCGAGATGCGCGTTGAAGTGGCCAGTATTTGAATTCTTTAGGTTAAACTCACAAAAAACCTCCCTTTATGTTCATAGTCATCTTACGTTGTGAAATTATAAGATACCAAATAACTGTCATTTATATTTATTAGGACTTCTCAGTGATTCATAGAGTAATTATATATGCTTACATAAATAGATGTTCTAATTTGATTAATTAGGCTATTGTGGAAGTGGAAAAATTATCTAGTTTAGTTAAATTCTTAGAACCACCACATTCACTTTTTTCTTTTTTTTTTTGAAATAACTAGATGATATGTAGAGCAGTACACCACAGTTGATAATGTACTTTACTGTTCAAATTGTGGATTCATACTTCATCTTTGTAATTAGGATCATAGTCAAGTGTACCCACTTTTAATAAGTAATAAAGACTGTTAACATAGTCTCAACTGAAAATGTTGCATAGTTACACTCTATAATAGATGTGAAAATGGAAGTGATATTCTTTATTAATTTATTATATTTTCATTACGAGTTAGCTTATACAACTTGAGAAGCTGTTAAAAAATTTTATGAGGAGCTGGCACCACAAAAATTGCCACCAAAATTTACATACTTTCTGTCTTTTAAAATTGCAATAACACATCCTACTCTGGCACTTTAAAATAATAGTTTTCTATTTCCTTTTATGACTTCTGCAAGATGTTCTTAATCCTTGTTTGCTTTCTCAGATTTTTATCTCCCCAATTTATTTATTTAATGGCACTCCTCCTGGATAATTCATCCTACTGTTCCCATTTATAGCAACCCTCTCCAAATTTTCACATTTATATAGTTCCTCATATAGCCACCTAGATTCTATCAATTTTCCAGAGCCTTTTATTTGTTATTGATGTAATAAGGAGCATGTATTCAATATATAAAGTTAATCCATTTCATTCTCAATGAACTTTGCCCTTCTGATTCGTTATGTTAATGTGAAGGAAAATTCACTCAACTAAGGACAGAGCATTCACTTTTTATTGCTCTAAATTAAATGTTTTGACAGGTTAAAAAACACTAATAAAGAAAAACTGCTTATTAAGAGAAGAAATCTTTTAATTTTTCTGAAACATAAAACATTTCCCTTTATGCATTAAAGGTCAGACTAGAAAGTGCAGGCTTAGAATTTTGTTACATGGTAAAGAGCAGAAAGAAAATAAAGTATTTTCCCTTTATTATGGAAAAAAAATAGCTAGTTTTCTGGAGCATGTAACCTAGAGGTGAATGAACTGAGGAGGGTCAAATATGAGATACTAGTGTCTTCTTAAGCCTTTAACAATGATCTGTAGAAGACAATACAGAAAAAAGCTTGGCTCCAGGCTCCTTCTTCTCCTGACCCTGGTGACCCAGGAGAGTGGGGATGGAAGGATGGAAGGGCATGGTGTCTGGGGTATTCGCCTTGGCATGCACCTCAGCTTCTCCGTGCTTGTGGATGGTGATGGACTGGATGGGGGTGAGACTGACTAGAAA